TAGCAGTTTTAAAGCTATCAGGAAATATACCCTTTGAGAGGCAGGCATTCACTAACTTGGTGAGAGGTACCACAATGGTGCCAATCACTGCCTTTAGTACAGAGCTAGACATCCCATGAATATCCTGGCTTTTTGAGTCTTTAAATCGTTTAACTATGTTTATAACTTCAGCAGGACTCACTTCTCTCCATTTTGCAAATTTGCGAGCTGGCGAACGGTCTATCATAGCCTCTGTAGGGTTAGTCTGCAAGACAGGTAAATCGGCAATTACACTCTCTGCCACTTGAACAAAATAGTCGTTCAGTTCATCAGGTGTTGCCTGTATCTTCGGCCCTGGGCTTGGCTTACGGTGTTCATTTACTATTTCCCAGGCTGCTTTGCACGTGTTATGGGACTTTCTGATTTGTTCAACATTACTTAGTTTTTTGGCTTCTTTTACCCTAGCACTGTAATCTCTTTTTGCCCTACAGTATAGGGAGAAGAACCTTTCTTTCCTATCCACATCTATGGCAGCTTTGTAGTGATCATGAAACAGGAGCGTAAGGGCTCGCATTTTAGCAAGTTCCGGAGTGTACCATTCCTTAATACTAGGCCTACCTTTTTTAGGGACATTTCTCTGTCTAAGCTTTGTATTTGGCTTGAAGACTCTAACAGGAAAAACTTCGTCAAACTTATCTTTAAAAATACTAAAGAAGGCATGGAACGCTCCCTCTGGATCAGAGTGAAGGTTTGGAAAATCCCAGCCAGTATGTTCCAGCTCACCATAAAACAAATGGAAATCATCCTTACTAACTAATCTCTTTTCTATTACATAACTAGCTAACCAATCATGTTGTTCACTCACCCTTTCAGTTGTCAGCCTCAATACCACTGCATCATGGTCAGCCACAAGTGAGGTTTTTACTTCCACCTCACAGTCCCATGAGTCGATGTTGGTAGCAGCGGCATCCAAGCAGGCCTCGCCACGGGTAGGGAGTCTTGAGGTTATATATAGACCATGGCTACGTAGAAGATTAGCAAAAGTGGCCTCCTCTCTCGATGGACGCTCCAGATGGATGTTGAAGTCCCCGCAGATTACTATTTTACCAGCCTCAAATCTAAGAAGGTATTGTAGACAATTATCCAATTGTTGAAAAAAAGTTTCCAGATCACCGTCAGGGGAACGGTAGACTGCCACAATAATAGTTGATATTTCAAGTACCTCCACAGCAGCAAGTTCAAGTGAAAGCTCAACACAAAAGATGTCCAAATTTATTTGTTTACAATTATATTTCGTTGATGCGAAGATGGCCACTCCACCGTTTTTATGTACATTTCTACAGAATATGTTCACTATGTGAAGGCCAGACAAGGATTTATAGAAGTCCCATTCATCCGCAGAAAGCCAATGTTCCGAAACACACAAAAAATCACAATCAACCTCCTCTGTAAAAAGGGAAACTAGGTTAAATTTAGTTCTCAGGCATTGGACGTTAAGAACAACAATTTTGACTTCACAGTTTGTGCCTAGGCCTGCCTCAGCTTCCTTATTTGGCCCATTTTGTCCATGTCTTAATCGTGGCCTAGGCCTAGTGGTTGCGTCACTTGTTAAGTTTATGTTGTTTGAGTCCTGTACACTGTGCGCCCTAAAAAAGAATTGGGCTTTGTCACTGCTCTTACACCACGTTTGGAGGGAATGAAATTTCGAACTAAAACCCCAGTAGGCCAAAAGTTTGGATTTAGAATCTCGGTTGAATATTTTTCTGGCAAACCAATTTTGAAAGATTTGTAGGTCTTGAATTTAAATTCGGTGCTTAGTTCTTCACAGTCAATTTGAGTTAGGCCTAGTCCTATGCCTTTTCCTATTAGGTAGTTTTGTACTTCCTCACTAGAAACGTCAGGTGATATTCTCGAAACAAAGAACAACGCTTGTTTGCAGGCTGATTTGAGATTTGTCGTCACTCTGTTTGTTCCGATGATAACATCGTTCTTCTTCTGCTGAACAACCTGCGAATAGTTTTTCTTGTTTTCCGTATCTACTTCACACCTCTGCGTTGATTTCACGGTGTTTGCATAGGAAATACGAGTAGCTTTCGAGGAAACTTCCACGTCTTTGAGCGAGCTTAAACTATTTCGACTATCACGCACGTCATTATCATTACAATAAGTTTGGTTATGATGATTTAAATTTTCATTTTCCTTATGTTTCATTTCTTGATCCATCACCATGTTCGTCAGTTTCGTTCCATTTCCATTCCGCCGTTCCTCTGTCACCAGTAGAGTAGTGTCGTTGTTTCTTTCCGAGGTTTGCTTTTTTTGGTTTCCATGTACCTCTACTGCCACTTGAATGTTGTCGCTGTTTGTTTCGACGAATGGGGAATTAGATACTTGGTCTTCAATCCGAGTCGCTGTTTCTGACGTAATCGTGACGTCACCTTCATTCAAAATCAAGCTGGTATTGTTTGTCTGATCATGTTCCTTAACCTCATATTTATGGATATTTAGTAATTGGTTTAATCCTACCTTTGTTTTGATACTCTGAGTCAATAAAACATTTAGTTTCTTTTCTAGGACCTCACCTAATTTTTGAAAGGATTTTACACAATTCTTCATTTCACTCAGTTCTTCCAACAGACCAGTTTTTGCCTGTGCGACATGGTTTTTCAACTTTGCATCACACCCCGGACAAAACCATCGAACTAGGTCTTCAATTTTACGAATTTCATTAAACTTTTTAGCATTTATGTTCAGACACTTGGCATGGTGCCACGAACCACAATATCCGTCGCATAATAGACTTTTTTCCTCATCAGCACATAAAATCTTACATACCGGGCACACCAACACGTCCACCTTATCCGCCATTGCCACTGCCACTCTCTCCACTGCCACTCTCTCCATCCATAAACGTCGCTAGCCCATATCTTATACTAAAACCTCTAACTGTTTGGAAGTTTTATGATGGTTTGATGTAATATGATCAAATGATGTTATAATTATAATAATAATTACGGTAACTTATAATTGTAACCATTAACTAAAAACTATGTACAATAAGTTAAAACTTAACATTAAACTCTGACATTTCAAAATCATCAAACGAATTAAAAGGGTTTTCAACTAGGCTAGCCAATTTTTTATAGTAGCTTTATCAAGTGATTAAATGAGATGAGTTTTGCAGTTTGGGGGAGCCTATTAAAAAACCTAACACAGTTGGCTTTAAAGGATTTACCTGTTTTGGCCAACCTGGGGTAAATCCAGCTTAGCCTTGCCTCTAGTGTCATGTGCATGAAAGTGGTCTCTGGTGGTGAAATCTGAAAGATGTAGTTTTGTTTGGTAGATGTAAAGGTTTATTACTGTCATGATATTCAGTCTGATAAACAATGGTTTACAGTGTTCCACTTCATCAACTCTACACATAGTTCTCAAGATTTTCTTGATAGGTTGGTAGATTTTCTACTGCTAGGTTATGTAAAATTACGTTTAGATCACAACTGTACTGTTTTTTCCGTCGCTCTTAAAGAAAAATGTTTTATTTTACTTTGTTTGTATAATAGATTTCATGTTCAAGTTAAATTTGCCATGTTTGACGGATGGAACTGTTTAAGTTACATCTGCGATGTTTGACAGAATAGATAAGTTAGAACTAGGTATACAAAGTGCACTCTGTTGGATAAGCTTTTAAGATACAACAAACCGGAAAAGTCAAGGCTGTTCTAACTTAATTATTAAATTACCTCCCCATTTTTAGCTCAACATATTTACCTCAACATATCAAGTTTCCAATGTAAGCCTACCTATATTATTCTTCCGACATTAAAAAATCATATGGCAATTATGCATCTACATATCTTATTGATCTTTTACAAGAAATATTACTTACCTACCATACATATTACTAAAAGGCTCGTGTTAAAGTACCTCTCAGATAGGGGGGAATGACAATGAAACAACGGCTCAGTGCCCTGACTACATTCATCTTGCCCATTCTCGTCAAGAACGACGCCAGATAGACTGGGGGGGGGGGGATTAGACTGGGCTGTGAAATTCGTGCATGTAAAGTTCTTGATATTATACGAATACCTAATGAATAAAGATGTGGTAGAAAATAGTATTCTCAGCAATGTAGTAAAGAAAAGCCTACTAGCCTATGAGGTATTTATTGGATACGTGTACCTTCACATGAATTTTTAATCTTAATCATTTATCATTTAAATGAGCTACTCAGCTTATTTTACAATACTTATTAACCATCAGTTCGCCCCAAACGCAAATCCCGAACATCAAAATTAAACAGTGAATTCTGTTTACTTAGTTGAGATTTCAAAATAAATAAATAAAGATAGGCTACTAAATAATGGAATGTTTACAATGAATTACCTAAAAACAGAAATAAGAAAATCAGTCATTCAATTTCTAAAATTGGCCAGGGGGTAAAATTCCGGGGGGTAAAAATCCTGGGGTAAAATTCCGGGGGTAAAAATCCGGGGGTAAAAATCTGGCCCGTACATCTTCAGTTGTCTAAACGCTAGTTATATGGACAGGGGGTAAAATTTAATCACGCTCTGGCTATTTTCATTAGACTTCCAAATCCGCGGGGGTAAAATTCCGGCCGCGAACAAACTTTTGGCCACTCAGGTTACTACGTCATAGTGACGTCAGCTTTGCCCAGGGGGATAAAATTTTGACTATTACCAAGGTTTGTTATTCTGTACCTACCTGAGTATTTTTGCGTCGTGATGAAAAGTATCGTTTATAACTCGTACCAAAAGTGATTTTCTGGCACTTGATCCATTATTCCAGTCCTCGGCTTTGCCTCGGATGTTAAAATAACTCTTGTGAAAATTGCTGTTCCTGTGTTTGGCTTTGCATCACACATAAAACTTGAGTGCACGCTGAAAAATAGGCCACATTCAGTACTAGTAATGAAATATACTACTGTAATTTATTAATATTATTAATTTATAACTATGTATAGGCCTATTATATTTGGTGTGTAATATTACATTGTATATTTTTAGGGTTGTTGGAAGATGGAATCTGTTTTGTGTGGCTCTATACTTCCCATTTGGTTTAATAGTAGCCCTTATTCGAGTATTTATATCTCTCCAAGCACTATTGTTAGCCCACCTGTTGCTGATTCCAGAATTGTCAACAATAAGAAGGTAAATAGTGTTTTAAAATACTTTAACAATATGACGAAGTAATACTTTTAATTGAAATATTTGGCAACCATGAAGGTGAGGTAGGTATTTTAAGCCAAGTTTGAACGGAGTTGTGTGTGTGTAGGATCAGTGATACGATCTTGTAGTCGTATTGTTATTAACTAAGACTGACATGTTCCTTAGACATGTTTTTATAGTGAAATCCAAACCACATTTTGCCTAGTTATTTACAAATTGATCTAATTATCAGGATAGTAGGCCTACTGCTGATAGTTAAAATTCTGTTTTTATGAGCTACTAGCAGAGTACCCGTCCTTCGTACGGGATTGGCATATGAGTATAAAATGCTTATTGCAGTTATACTCAAAGCTTCGCGTTTGTAATGGGGGAGGACACAGTTTTAAAAATTTACTTCTTTAAATTTACGGTATACTATTATAGTATTACACATCTACCATAGCCATATTCTTCTCCCACTAAACAATAAAGAAAAATAAATATTTAAAAATTCGCAAAATATCACAAATTTTTTATGAATTAAAAACATAAACATAACTGTATACAATCCTAATTTGACAGTTCTTATTGTGTATCACAGTTTTTTGTTGCTGTTTAGTTCAAATTAGCTGTTTACATAAATGCAGAAAAATAATAGTGCTGCACCCTGTTGGTAAATCTTATAACTTTTTAATTCTTTTGCATATCATAGAACCAACTTTTTTAGTTGAAACAGCTGACTAAATTCTTTAATTCCCTTTAAATATGAATACTCAGGGTTAACATGGGGAACTACAGAGCCACTGGGGCGGAGCCCGAAAGGATTTTTGAGATAAGAATATGCCTATATGTTAATCGGGAATATGAGCTATCATCATGCCAAATTTCAGCCCATTCCGTCCATTAGTTAATGCGTCATTGAACTTCAAACAAACACACACACAAACTTTCACATTTATAATATTAAGATGATCAAAGTGTACTGATAAGCATATAAACACTTTAGGTAGTACAAAAAACATATAAGGACTAAGTTACTTGATTATTCATTAGGATTAAGTAGGTACCTTAATACTTTTTTATGAAATGGCGACAATGTACTTAAGGCACAAAAATGTTAAACGTTATCAATGATCTGACAGATGTTTTCTCCCTTTAGCTTGTCAACAACCCTTATCATGGCACATGGGAAAGTTTAAGCTTTGAGAGAAACTTTGATAACTAATAAAATCACTAAAGTTGCAATAATTTTTTAACCAAATTAAAAATATTATTTTTTACAACAATGGGAGTTGTACCATTACATTAAGAATTAAAAGGACTACAACGGTACACAATTTTAATCAAAATCGGCCCAGCCGTAATGTTGTTTTCTCAAATAAAATAGTTTGTTCAAAAGTAAAACAAATTATAGCCTACTTCTTTAACCATGATCCACTGTGTGTACCAGTTTCCTGCTGTTTCAGATATGTGCTTCGTGTGATGGGACTAGTGTTGGGTATTTTTGTTTTGGAAGAAAATCCACCAGCAAGAGATAAGAATACTAGATTGTTGGTAGCAAATCATATCTCCATCGTTGATCATATTCCAATCCATTTAGTCACTGGTTGTTTTTCGGTAAGAGATAATAATAGATAGAGTTAAATAGAGTTAAAAGTAAAATAATAAAAATGTATACCAAAAACAAAAATATAATATAGATTTTACTTAATTCCCAGTAGACAAACAATGTCTTTGTTTTTCCAATGGGTGTATAAATATGTTTTTAGGCGTACCTACCACCACGTGAGCATGCGACATACAATTGTCTGTGTGAAAAGCATGCATTGTCTAAATTTAAATTTAACTGGATTTAAGTCAGGGATTGTGCCGTATGCCTTATAATGGTGATTGCGAAAGCAAGACGAAAAATAAATTGTAGTCGCTTGAATTCAAACGGTAATTCGGATGAAATTTGGTATTATTGGGAGTAACACTACTTCTTCTTTAAACTTACCACTGATGATTGTTGCTTCGATCAAGTTTTGTGTCATTTTTAAAATCGTAAGTCTGGTTCCGTTGCACAGTTTGGGTGGATTTAAGTATTATTGGAGTTCCTTATTTTAATGACAGTAATGAGGTGTGTAAAAAGGTAGGCACATCGGACAAATCGGTAGGCATTTGAATATCTGAGATAGTTATTATTATTAACTTAATAATTTATTATGGATTGCGTGGGTATAGAACAAAAGATAATTGCCATCCCTTTTATACTTTGATAAAGGTTTTTACTCTTTATGTTTACATATTTAATAGTGGAGAATTTAAATATTGTTGAGTGTACAGGTGTGCTGCGATTGTGGTTTAATATATTTGGTGTTATCCAAAAGTAAAATCGTTTTCTGTGCTGCATTATGTACTGTAGGAAAAGTGTTGCACTATTTCAAATCATGACTAATACAGAATGTTGTGATAATTTGAACCTTCAAAACAGTTGGTGAAAGTAAACATCTGCTTTTAAATTATATTTATTTTTAAACATTGTAAGTGGTGTTTACACTGTAGTGGGGTCACGGCTAAAGTCAGGCGTGTAGGTGAGAAATTTTCTCACTTTCTTGAGAGGCGTGGCCACGCCTCGTGTAAACAGTAGAGACGTGGGAGCAACAGGCGTGGCAACCCAATACGCCTGTTCCCCACGCCCTTTAGAACTAATCAAAACGTGTTTGGTTGCTACGCCAGTTGGAGGCTTGGCTAGATGCGGTCAGGAGTTATTGTCTTCCGTCTCGTCGTTGTGTGTACGGTACTACGAGTTTTATTAACTATTGTTCTTTAATGTCAGTGGTTGTCGTCTTAGTTTTTAAGTACGGTAACATGGCTAAAACAAAAAAATCTATAACATTGACACAAGTCGAATCAATTGAAAAGGTGAAAACAAAGCAATCTTTAAAATTAACGGAAGGTCAAACAATTTGAATGCTTGAACTGTATCAAAGTGAACCTTGTTTATTTTATATAAATATTGAAAGCTACAGCTTGGTTACTTTCTTTTAATATCACTTAAATAGCGTGCTATTTCTTCAGCTAAAATAACACTCACTGTAGCACAACCTTCAATAATTAATCTGTTAGCACAATCCATAACGCACCCGTAATTAAAAAAAAAACACGCCTTTAATGAATACGCTTTGGGACGGTACCGTGGTGCCAAGGCATTTGCGTACGACCTCCATTGGTGTGTCGCCTGTTATGTACGTGGTAATACGGCAGTGTAAACACCGCTATAGTTCCAAGAGTTAAAAACTGTTACTGGCCACCAACCTATTAAAAAAAACTTGGTAAATTTATTTATTTTATACTAAGCTATTAAATTTACTAAAAAACACACTTAAGGTTTGTGTAGCAGCAAACCTAGGTACTCGTCAAACCTAATGTTATTTAAATAGATTTAATTGAAAATTAATTCAGGTAAAAAATTTAATAGGCCTAGGCTCAGATGGATGTTAATTTTCAAAATGACGATATAGTGGGCTTAGCGAGCAACCTTGAGTTCGGTAGCATAAGGGCAGACATTGAAGGTGTAGGGGTGATTGTGTACAGTAAGCAGGCCCGGACTGGCTAGGTCCGCAGGTCTGCGATCGCGGAGGGCCCCCGGCTAAAGGGGGCCCCAAAGGGCCTCTTTTCGCTTAAAAATTACAATAAAATATTGTTGCTTGTTATTAGTTATCATATGTTTTTAGTAATGTTTTGTTTACATTTTCCAAACTAGAGAACTGTGTTTAACAACTCTTTGTATCTTGCTGTTTATATAAAAGCATACAAACCTACTGTGGCCTATTGTTAGTTGATGCGTTGTTGTAGTGTAATAAATCGTCTGTGCGGTGACTTGTGTTGTGGTAAGCAGACAACGCCAAAGTGATGCTCTATCATATCAGCTGATAACTCAGCATAAAGACAGCGCAAAAAGACAGGAAAAGAAGAAAAAGACACTGGAATCTGTAGGGAGGTGTCGGTTTTCGATGGCACCGATTCTGGAACATTAGTATGCGTATCGAGCATGTGGTTCGCTTGTGTGGTGGCCAAAGATGGAATCTACTGCAGCTGCCAAAGCTTTAGCAGGAGTTCAAAGGCTTGCTCTTATAATGATAACTGGGGCAGTAAGTAGCTGCCCTGGAGCAGCTCTAGATTGTCTGCTTGATATGTTACCCATTGACTTCATCAAGGTGGTAGCAAGAAAAACAGCCCTACGCCTTAGATGCGAAAACTTATGGGTGACCTTAGGAAACAATAAAGGGCACTCCAAAATTGTTCAGGTGCTACACAATGATGAGTTGGACCTACCTTCAGATCACATGTCCAAAAAATTCTCCTTTGGAAAGCCTTTCAAAGTACTAATACCAGACAGGGAAGATTGGTCTGGCGCGAAAGGGCCCATCCCCACAGGTGATTTAGAATGCTACACTGATGGTTCTAAGGTCAAAGATGGGGGCACTGGAGCAGGTGTGTACTGGATAAACGAAGGCACTGGTATTTATCTTCCTATGGGGGTGTACCCAACTGTTTTTCAAGCGGAGGTCACTGCCATCTTGGTTTGTGCTCAAGAACATCTTAATAAAGAGATCAGAGACAAAACAATCAATATCTATACTGATAATCAAGCAACCTTAAAAGCACTAAACTCTTATGAATTCAACTCAAGGCTCGTGTGGGACTGCCTTGCTTCTGTGTCTGAGTTGGGTAGGAGTAATGATCTTACGCTCTGCTGGGTGCCAGGACACTCAGGCATAAAAGGTAATGAAGCTGCAGACAGATTGGCAAACACTGCCTCTGCGACAACCATGATAGGCCCACAACCCTTTTGTGGCATTTCACGAAACAGTGCATGTTCTTCGATTGCGTCATGGGCCAAAGAAAAGCATCGTAAACGCTGGGTCGACACTCCCCTTCTTAGGGTCAGCAAGCTTATTCTGTTTACCTTCTAAAAAGGTGGCCTCCGACCTTTTGAGACTAGATAGACGAAGAATCAAATTAACTGTAGAACTGATAACTGGGCATAGGCGATTCAGGAAACATTTACAACGGATGGGCTTATTTGATGGTGAACCGATCTGTAGGCACTGTGATAGGTCAGAAGAGACAGCCGATCACTTACTCTTTGATTGTAACGAGCTCTCGATGCTAGAATGACAACTCTTGGTAATCTGGCTAGAGGAAGATATCTTCCTGAGGATGAACTTATCGGGAAGTTACAGGCATTCATTGGACGCCTTAACTTGTAAGGTCAACAAGAAAACAATTGTCTGGGGTGCGCAATAATTCAATTTCGGATGAAGTGCTTTAAGGTCTTGATCTGCCCCTGTTAGATAAGATAAGATGCATATCGAACATGGTGGAAGGAAAAAACATAGGTGTGCTTTTCCCGTCATGGGTATCGAGAATAATTTATCGTCAAGAGTCAATGCCGCTACCGATACCTATAAGTGGATAGGAATAATTAGAATGCAAAAATCAGTTGACAAAATTCAACCATAGAATTTCGATTTTTGTTTTTTAACACTACCCTATCTAAAAAGCAGTAACATAAAGGTCAGCTACAACACAACCAAAGGTCAGTATTGCACAATGGATAATTCAATGTCAGTCAACCAGCTACTGCATCGTCTTGCCTACATGAAAATATTGTGATATTAAGGCATTATATCACAAATGTGTGTTGTTATGATTGATTCCGAACCTATTGAACAAATTTTTAGCACAAAATTTCTCGGTCTACTAATAGATGGCAACCTAAATTGGAATGAACACGTGGACAAAATCATATCAAAAATTAATTCAGGTTTATGTGCCTTGAGAAAAATGGCAGATTTATGTAGTCAATCAACACTCAAACTAATATACCATTCCTATATACATTCCCATATATCATTTGGCATCTGTCTTTATGGCTCCACCAAACAAGAAAATCTTGATAAAATTCAAAAATTACAAAAAAAGCAATTCAGATCATTAAAAATCTTCATCAAGAAGTATCCTGTAGAGAGCATTTCAAAAATCTTCAAATTATTACAGTTTATGGACAGTATATTTTTGATACAATTATGGTTTATAAAACTTTGAATTCAAGCAAGCCATTAATAAACCATCCAACTCACCCATACAATACCAGAAATAAATCGGAAATCATACCCACTCATCACAGATTGCAACTCTACACCAAAAAACCATCATATGCAGGAGCAAAGTTTTTTAGAACTTTACCTAAAGAAATAAAAAAAGAAAATAATGTTAATAAATTTAAAATTAAGTTAAAAAATTATATTACATCAAATCCTATTTATTCAATTGATGAGTATAACCAGTTGTAAATATGTATTATAAGCCCTGTTAGCTATAAGGAAATGACACTATTCCGTTGTATGACTCATGTACACATTATGAATAAAGATTGATTTGATTTATGCCCTTAGGATGCCCTTATTATGCCCTTATTCCTTTAGGAAAGAAATTTCTACTGTAAATTTGTGTTTTTATAAGAACATAGTAGCTTTGACTATTAATACAACTAGACTTGGTTATTACTGGTAAATACAAACCATAGACTAACCAACAAAAGTGGGATTCTTGACTTTCTTTTAAATTTTGAAGATCTTTTTTCGTGTCTAGTTCATGATGGTGACACTGATTACTAGTGTCGACAAAATTTTGTTCCTATTATTTTAGGGTTAATTTTGTGATTTGTGATTTACCGTTCAGTTAAATAACTAGGGGACGAGTTATCGTTTATGATCACATAATTTTATTTGGTTAATTGAGTTTTTAAATGCAAAATTGTCCTCTCCTCAGCTGATCCAAGGATGAGAAGTCTAGGGAGCATGTTTAGCCTATCTAATTATATATCAATGGTTTATCTATGATACAACCTAATATTCTTGCGTTACACGATTTTTGGTCTATGTGTGTAATCTTTTATGAGTAAATTTTCACCTCGTAGACAGTGCTTATTAATTGTAAATGTGTGTGTAATTTTTGTGAATATTCCATGTGTTATGACTTGTTATGACTGATGTTATGTGTATTTATAGTTCAATATTTTTGCTTGTGTTAAGTAGGCCTACTAATTAATACAGTCTTTGTCTTGTTAGTATTATTTTCCAAATACCTAACATCTTTTTGTGATTATTATTTCCACACAATCAATGTTGACACAATTTATTAATATTGATGTGAATAATACTGCACTTTAATTTGAGTTCTGTTATAAGTTAACACTTATTGACACTTCTACAGTGTGTGTATTGTATTGCTGTAACCTAACAATAATTGTAAACTTTTTCTTTTAATGAAAAATAAATTAGATTTTAATTATATATAGATAGGCCAAGTAAATCCCCTAATATTTTATAAATACCTAGCTAAATTTCTTCCTCCTTATAAAAAATACCAAAATAATGAGAAAAAACTCGTTTACAAAGACCTAATAAAAATAATCCCCCGGTAGAGGGCCCCATCACAGCATGTAGCTGAGGGCCCCAAATTGTCCCAGTCCGGGCCTGACAGTAAGTAAGTAAGTCATGTGTGCATGTCTGTCCACCACAGCCAGTTACAGTTACTGAGGCTCGACGGAGACAAGAGTCCCCTCAAACTCAATAATACTCGTACCATTTTGTGGATTATAAAGCCAGATTAGAGCGTATCAACCTGTCACAGAAGCTTCTATTAGCGAAGTGTCCACTTCTTATTGAGGTGTTTAATCTCTAGTGGTATTTTCCCATTTTTATGTTTGAAAATCGCTACTCTTTTGATGACATTTAGTCTGCAAAATTTTAATACTAGGCTGCAAAGGATATATTTTTTTTTTCTCTTGTTCTCTTAGTCAAATTCTTTAAAAATGTATTTTCTTGGTTGCTAGTAACAACATATCAACCTGAAACCTAAACGTTTATCAGTGGAAAGTATTCCAAAGTTTACTGTACTTTGGCTGTAGGTCTACATTTGTTATTAATGAATGTATATGTTTGTTTGTATCTAGCCAAGCCAGTGGGAGGTGTGGCCATTGTGTCTGAAAGTGTTTGAGGGTTCCCCAGACAAGCATACATTAGCATCCAACCTTAAACTTCACCTGCAGCAGACTACCAAAGTACCTTTATTGTTGCTCCCTGAGGAGACAACTACCAGTGGCAGTTGTGCTTTGCTGAGGTACAACACCATAACAAATATATTTAACAGATGTCTGTCACTTGGAATTTATTGTTTTCATATTTGAGAATTTAAAAGTACCTATAGTATTATAATTATAATTTGTTTTTTTGTAGTATAAAATACATACAATACAAGATTTGGTATTGTGATTTGGGGTAATGGAGTAGGTATTGGTAAGGTGTTAGTGATTCATAAAAAAGTCAATTAGAATTGTTACCGGTGCCAGAAGATTAGACAATTGTAAATCTCTGTTCATAGAATCTAGTATATTAACTGTTGTAAATCTGTATATTTATGAAGTCTCCATTTTTTTGAAAAAGAACTCAAACAAACATGTTTTAAGTGGAAATGTCCATAGCCACTTAACTAGGAATAGAAATTTGATTGATGTAAGTAGAGTAAGACTGTCAAGATCTCAAAACTATCATACCCACAAAATATTTAACATGTTTCCAGTTGATTTTCGTGCATTGCCCTTAAAAGAATTAAAAAAAAAAAAAACTGCTCTCTTGGTGTAAAGCCAATTCTATGTACAAATTAAGTGATTTCTTCAATTTACAATTTGTAATCAAAGATTTAAATTTTATAGTTGTTTAGAAATAATGTTTCTATTCTTTAGATTGACGATGTCTATTGTAATTCTTGTGAATTAATTAATGACTAATAAACTTGTCTATTGTCTTTTGTGTATTCATATTCAGACCTTTTGGTAGCAGATAAGCTGATTTACTTAATATTTACACATTATGTTATCACCTGTAGCTCCTTAGGAACTACAGTAGAACCTCTCATATCTGGCCATTTTGAAACCAAGCCATGGTCAGAACGGCCAAAAGGTCGGATATCAGGAGGAGCTTAACTTGCAGTCTGTGCAACATCGGTAATCGCCTAGCTCAACCCCAATAACCTTGAGCATGTATTGTAGTCTCAGTGATGCCAGGTATCGTCTCCCATGACCGCGGCAACACTCGTGAGCATAACTTGCAGTCTACCCGACATTGGTAATCGACAATAGTCTCCCACAACGGCAGCAACACCCCTTGTCTTGCAGTGTCCACGATATCAGAAATCGTATCCCGCGACAGTAGTAACACCCGTGAGCATGTATTGCAGTCTCGTCAACACCAGTAATCGTCTCCCGCAACGGCGGCCACACTGGTGAACATGTCTTGCAGTCTCCACGACAGCAGTAATAGTTTCCCGAAACCACGGTAACACCTGGGATCGACGACAGTGGTGATCGTCTGCCGCGATTACAGCTACATCCGTGATCGGGGTTTCGTTTAATTGAATGCAATCAGCGTAATCGCACGAGACAGGAAGCTAGTGGATGGTCGGATATCCGGAGGAGTCAGTTATGCCAAGGTCGGATATGAGGGGTTCTACTGTACAGTTCATTACATCGGAGTAATTCACTTAATCCTTTGGTTACTTAGATTCAAAATATTCATAAAAGCGTCATATTTAAAGGTTCCTGATGCCTTTGTGGAGGTAAAACCAAACTAATGAAAGTTTTAGAATACTTGATAAATTCAGTAAAAATATTTCATAATGTCCTTATCACAATTGTAACTATCTTGACATTGTTGTAGGTTCTCACCTCTGTGTGCCAATGTAGCTGCATCAGTACAGCCTGTATGTCTCAAGGCATGGCGACCCTTCCACATCACCACCACTACCTTAGCAGCTTCTTTTTCTACTGATCTATTCTGGTTTCTTTTTTCACCTGTTACGGTCTTTAGAATCAGGTCTGTAATAACAAATTCAAAAAGTATGTAGTAAATAAAAGCGATACATTACAATTCAGATTAACCAAATGAACATGTTGTATTTTTTTGTTACAAATAAAATAGGTACATTTAGTATTCATAGGTGAATTTTACATCAGATCTTTAGGTATGTTTCCTATTAGGTTCTCTGGAAGTTAAATTAAGGAATTTTGTTAATTTAATTTTTTGTTTGTTTGTTTGTTTGGGGATTAATTTATTCCAGACCTAATTTTGAGATGGAAATATTGCATGATCATCAACCTCATAAGATATTTGCATAAGGTAAAGTGCTATGAGATAATTGATATTGAGTCCATAGGGGTGTTGAGATTATTATCACAATGATTCAATTTGTCGCTAAATCGAAATGCTAGAGTTGTCACATTTTAACTGTTAAAAATGTACACATAATTTAAGTAATCAAATTTACAATGTTTGGTTTGTGATGATCTAATCATTGTAACTAAAACATCCTTGGAATAAATTCAAAATTTACCTTTTTCAGGTATTTGCCAGTAATTCATCGCCTAGAGAATGAGACTGATGAAGAAATGGCAGACAGAATTGCTCAAGCCGTAGCCAAGGATTTGGGAATTGTCACAACTAAGTTTTCTGCCAAAGACAAGGTCGGTATTATTCTTTATGCAGTTATTAAACTGTTAAACAATAGTTCACTTAAGTGTATATTTAAGTTTGTTACAGGAACTAAGCTGTTAGTTTGGCACTGAGGTTATTGTATGTTTAGCAAGAGTATGAGAAGCGTTACTTGGTGGAGGTGAGCAGAAGCAAGACTGGCCAACAGACGGCCAGAGTCAGCTATGAGCTGCAGCGCATGGCCTCACAGGTGGCAGAGGTGCTGCCTTATGTACCTTACGAGGCCATCATCAGAGACTTGAGTGAGTAGCATGGTAACCGCACAATAATCAGAACCTAGCGACATCATTTTCAGCCTTTTTTTACAACTTGAAATTGACTTTAAAAGAGTGATTCTAGGAGTAAACATTTCTAGACTCTGGATTATGTTAATACAAGGAAAGGTTAAAAATACCTGTTTAGGTTTCATTGAGAACTGTCTTTTGGAACCGACACATCACTACTTAGTACTTATGATTTTTTTATGAACTAAAAAGTGAATCCATTGAAATCTGTTAACCACTATGATATAAACATTTTAATAAAAAAAAAAAAAAAAAAAAAAAAAAAAAAAACAATAACTTTGACTTATTAAGTTGAATCTTACCTTTTGGAGTACCTATCAAAGCAATAGTACCTTTTGGGGTCGTGCTTAGCCGTCCATATTCTTTCAGAGCAGTACCTTTGTGGCACATTCTTTTTAATAATCATTCATTCAACTTAATTCAAGTGAATTGATAGAACCATTTAATAATGGTAAATCATAGTCATACAAATTAATTAACAATTATTGTTTGCACTTGCAATATGACGGCTGTACCATTAAAGTTGTTGTGTATTATTCTGCAGGTAGAACTCGCAGTGTGGATCTAACCATCTCCAACATACTAGAGGGCTCAGTCCGATTCACACCTGTGCCACCTGAACAGAGGGCCAGCACTAGCAGATCTGCCTCTGTACGTAACAACATTTAAATCTGTCTGAAAATATATCCTGATACTACATAAATACCAACATGTCCTAAGGATGATATTTAGGCCTATATGTTACACTCAAACTCCAAATTCGGACAATGTGCAAAATGTTTACGCACTCCGCACTGTGGACAGTGTGAAATACCCATGTTGCGGAGTGAGCATTTTATTCGAACACTGGCCAAAGTGAAATGCCCAGACCGCGTTGTGGGTAAACTGTTTTACTCAAATGCTGAATTTAAAATGTTATTTGGGATGGAGCAAATCCAAAATGCCCACAATGTGATGTGAGCAAAAGGGATTGCCCACGTCGGGTTGTGGGTATTTCTTCTTTGCGCAAACACCGAATTCTAGTTTTCACAGGAGATCCAAAATGAAGACCTAAATAGAGAGCGGTTAGACCTACCTTTGAGCACTTTTTGCTCAAGACAATCTGCTATTGATACAACAGGGGAAAACTGTGCAACTTCCTTAAAAATCCAGACAGAAAAAATGTTAATGAACATGGAAAGGAAATTAACCCCTGTTTCAGTCTGAGGCAACGTGATGGTCAATATTCCTGATTTTGTGACTGGGGACGACTAGCTCCTAGAACTGTTAATGCTAGCAGTACATTGGCGAATATAGGCACTCGGGATAGTTCGCATCACCATGATTCGTGCTCGCCTGTGCTCCATTTTTTGTCGGTTTTTGGGACGATTCAAAGGAGAAGAGCATAGGTGAGTGCCGAAAGTTAAAATAAAATATGTCTTACCATTAGCAAGCATGTTCGGCGAACGTGGGCGAGCTTGTACTGGGTGAGCTCGTGGTTCACTTTCGGCAGCACTTGTGGTCGTAACTGGAGTAAAAAATTTGTCAAAACAATCGGCCGAACATTCGAGGACTACGTGTGAGGAACTAGTAGCTCACATCGGGAATCGCAACGATAGTCAATACTAGGTGTGTTGAATCCAAGTGCCTGGATGGATGTCGTGTGCTGAACACATAGATGAGTACGGTGGGGGCGACTAGTGTCTATGGAATGCCACCACATTGCTCACTGCAGTGGTAGCGAAAGTGACCACGGCCACGGCAACATCTGTGTGATAAACCAGATGCTCAAGATCGCTGGCGCAGCAATCCTCAGCTAAGGCATGACATGGCTTAGCGTGAATGTAAAATCCAGATGCGAACCCTGGAATGATAACGTTACACCATGTCCTGATCTGTTGGTACTTAACACTTCATGTTATTTGTTAAGTCATCCCAACTTTTAATTTGTATTACATATTATGCTAAATGTATGTATCTGTATGGTAGTCTTAGGTTTAAGGATCTCTAGTAGATGTTCTCTTTTCTTACTTACTTCTTGGTACGTGCTTCTTGCTTCAAGTGATGCCGACCGCACGGTGTCTCCCATATACATGGCTTGCTAATTTCCAACAGTTAGGCTCAGTCAGGATTCTTTTGAGAGAACAGTCGGGTTGGAGTTTAATCTTCAGCTCATCTCTCCCATCTGACTTGCTGGTACAATGCAGGAGGATGCAAAAGAGGACTTGTGAGAAGTCTTTTGTGGGTTTAGTCTTACAGCTGGATTTGATGAGGGATCTGCAGAAATACTGAGGGACTTGTGCCAAGTTCTCAGGGCTGAGTTTTGGATTACATTAAGTTTATTTATATGTGTTTTTGCCACAGAGCCCCATATTTCTGCTCCATACATTATCTTAGATCGAATGAATGATATAAAGAACTGCCTCAGTGTGAGAGTATCTGCTCCCCATGTCCTGCTAGCAACAGCTTTGAGTAGGTTTAGTCTTTTTGTGCACTGCAACAAAATCTGCTGTATGTGGTTGTTCCATAAAAGTTTGGGATCAAGAGTGATTGCGAGTAATGATGGGTTTGGGTTGTTGTATGGGATGGGGTATGTTCTCTCTTTGAACGGTACTTTGCGTACTTCCAATTTATAAGAGCAGAGACCATCTTAAATTTTGAGTAGTGACGCAAGGTGCGGGCTATGTTAACTGTACAGCGTAAATGTATATGTACTACTACAGCATAAATGCTGGAATTAGGATTTTTCAAAGATATTAAAAGCTGAAAGTCCTGTAAAGAAAACAAACATTTAAAGCACTCTTGTGACATGAATAAAATATATTAAGATGAAACGCTGAGAGTACCTGATTTCCAAGTTTACTGAGTGTCGGTGTTATTGAAGCTGAAGAAGTGCAGCCGTAGAGGTGTGAAGATCCTATAGATGAGAGAGATGGCAGCATAGGGGAGTTAGGGCCTCACTGCTGGGGGAAGAAGGCGCCTTCTGTAGGGGACGATGAGAGGATGTTGGTCGTATGTAGATATGATGATGTGCAGAGTTGATGTAGATAATTGTGTTAAGCATTAGAGAGTAAAAAAGCTATTCTCTAGAATTTAAAATAAAAATAAAAATCACTTCCTCTTGAGGTTTTATCACTTTATTCATGTGATATTTAAATTAAAAATAAAAATATTTACACTTGGCACTCTTCTTTATGCCTTGCACAAAATAATAAATCTTAAAATTAGCAAATTGAAATGCAAAGTAAAAATTATTTAAGACTTTAAACTGGAGCTTGATGTTTCTTGAAATAACATGAAATTTAACATGAAAAGTGAGAAATAGCTTATAAAAACTGGCGTCTTGATGTATTTAAATTGAGAATTATGCGGTGAACTGGAAGAAATAACACTTTGTCAGACGGACGCTGCATAAAGCGAGAACGAGGATAAGTTATAAAACACTGGTAAAAAGACCACGTGCAAGAAATGCGTAATACAATATTAACCGCGAGTACACGGGAGTTACCACGGTGAAAACATAAGCGGAACTGGATTTAGTCGTTACAAATATCATAGCGTCTCTCCCACTCTTCAATATTTGAAAATCTGACCAATCACGTGAGGCCGTGTTATCACAAAACTGCTCGACAAAGTGGATGTCTGGAAACAGGTGACTGGACATGTCGAATACTGACCACTCTTCAATGACAACCTTTCTAATAAGTTTGTTTAAGTTTAAACAAAAATAAAAGAAAGAAGTGTATACTGTAAGTTTACTTCTCCGTAGGTAAATAATCTTAATGATACTTGAAAAAATTGAATAACACATTGCAATTCCATACTGCAATTCATGCAGTTTCTGTGATGAAGATATTGTAGTTCCCAAATTTAAAAATATTAATTTGGTAGCACTATTTAATTTTATTTGAAATCTTTTGAAGATATCTGATGCATCATTGTTTACAACTACAGGCAGCAGGATCATGGAGTGAAGGAAGCAGTTCGTCTTTCCCTCGGTCAGCTCAGGATCGGATGATGTCATTTGTGGAGCGCAAAGCTCGTCTTATTGAAGAGGCTCGCAAGCGTTACATGGAGAAACACGGCCTTGTCGACTCTCAATAGACTGTGAGTAGAAGCATAAAAGTTATGATGGACAGGTTTTGAATAATTAAAAAAAATTTATAAACATTACATTTGAATCCTGAACCCTTATATTGGTTCCTTACATGGTGGAAGGAAAAAACATAGGTGGTCATATGCTGACGTCACCCAGATTGCAAATGCCTAATGGCAATAGTATAAATGCAAGTGGTAAAATCATTTAGAAAAAATTATAAAACAATAACAGTAAAATCAAAACAATTATATACTTATACTAGCTGGCCCAACAGACGTGGTTTATGTCAAATGCTCGTTCATTTTCAAGATAAGCTCGTTCGCAAGGCTCATTCACGTCCTGGTTGAAGTTCGTTCGCTATGCTCCCTCACCTTTAGGTTGGAGCTCGTTCACTGCGCTCACTTGCCTTCAGGTTAACTCGTTCGCTACGCTAACTCGCCTCCAGGTTGAAGTGCGTTCGCTAGGCTCACTCACCTTTTGGTTGCAAATTAGCTGTTGTCATAAATTTAAAAAAATAATAGTGCTGCACCCTGTTGGTAAACCTATTAAACTTTTTAATGCTATTGAACATCACAGAATAAAATTTTTTAGTTGAACCAGCTGTTAAGATTCTTTAATTCCATTTAAATATGAGTACTCATAAGGTTAACATGGGAAACTCCAGAGCCACTGGGGCGGAGCCCTTTTTGACAGATCTGCACCAAACTTCACACAAACCATCCTTGAATAATGCTTAATAATGCCTGATAGTTTCATTACAATCTGTCAAGCGGTTTCATTCAGAGTCTATAAAGGACAAACAAACAAACAAACATACATTGAATTTTATATATAAAGGGTGCGCCAAAATAACCTGACGGTTTCTGTTTTGTGATAAGTCAGCTGTTATACAAGCTAGAGGCCTCATTGTTGTAGTGAACGATTGCTTATGTTATGCCATTTTAGGTTATGTTTGGTGAAACATCACTTCGTCGAAAGGAAGGTACCGTCTAGTGTGGTGTGGCACGGCTTGGAGTCGTCGGACCATATGTTTTTGAGGACGAAAGGGGGAACACCCCCTGTCACTGTAAAATCGGAACGCTATGTGGACATACTGAGGGGGTTTTTGGGTCCACAACTGCGAATGTTATGAGGGATAGACATGACCAATACGTGGTTTCAACAGGACGGCGCAACTTGTCATACGGCCAATTATTCAATGACAGTTTTGCGTGAACTTTTTCCCGGTAAAGTGATCTCACGGTTTGTGATGTGCGTGGTCAGCTCGATCCCCAGACTTAATTTTGTGTTACTGTTGGCTATGGGTATACTTAAAAAGCAAAGTGTTTGTTTCGAAATTTCGAACCATCCCTGAACTCAAGCAGTGTATCCGGGAAGAGATTGCTTCTATTCATCAGGCTAAGGTTACTGCAAATATGAAAAAAAAAAAAAAATGGGAAGCCTGCGATTAGGAGAAGGTCCTAAGTGATATAATTGTTCATAAATGAAAATGGCATAGTAGTGTGTACAATATAATATTATTTAATACATAAAATTGTATTTTGTTCTTGGATTATTTAATATTTAAAACCGTCAGGTTATTTTGGCGCACCCTTTAGATGACAGTTACAATCAGGTGATTTTCTGTTTGCAATCTGGGTGAGGTCAGCCTATGAGGGGAGTATCACACCTACTGTATGTTTTTTCCTTCCACCATGGGGTCCATAATCATCAAGTTCAAATAGGGTAAGTTATTTTAGTTTTGTATTAATGGAAATAAACCAAGCAGTGTTATTTGTAAGTTTGTAATATTGGAACATTCTGCAACAAAGAATTTATTGGAAGTGAGTGAACTATTCTAATATTGACTTTTTGCGAGAATTACTTGATATTATTTTTCCCTCCATATAAATATAATTGGTAATAAATCATTGTGAAAAACACTTCATTCCTCCAAGTTTTTATTTGAAGGTGCAAAATTTGTATATTGTGCTAATTTTTCATATTATTTAAAGAAATATATTGTTTGCTTCATACAAATCACAATTCATTTGTAAGTTTTTAATTAGGTTTGGTTTTACCGTTTTAAGAAGTTTTTTTTTTTTATTTTCCTTATTTTCAAGAGAAATTTAAGAATTTACAGTTTGTTGATGTGGGCTTTTAACCATAGTTTAAACTTAATTATAACAAATTTGTTTTAGGTAAAAGAAAAAAACAAATTATTTTGTAACAGGGCTTATTTTTTTCAGGTAAACAAAAAAAAAAATGCTATTGAGATGTCATTATCCGAATAGAGAATATGTCCCCAAGAAAACAGACTGTCTGAGGAAAATTGTTATCAGCGTTACATTACATTATAAGTGAAGGTAATTGCTTTGTACACAACTTTTTCAGTTAATTAATACCTCTCGAACATACTTATTTTATGTAAATACTTATTTTATGTAGCTCAATGTAAGGTACCATAATTAGAATAAACCCTTTCCATTTTTCTTAATAAACTATTAGGTGCAACATTAAGAACCTAGGCAATGCAATCATTTTTAATATATTAGTTAAAACCTCTTGATTTAATATTTTGCGCTTGTGAAAAGATCTACCATACTGCCTTTACATGTTTGGGATTGAGTTTCTTAAAAGTTTTTTTCCATTGTGATCCAACTTTATTGGATTGGTTTATTGGTTATTGTTTTCAACATTTTCACGCAACTGCAGATTTACCGACTCTTCATTAATTTTCAATAGGGGACATGGTCAACAACTGTTTTCTGGTTGCACATGCTGTGTGTCAGAGTTCTCGTAACCAGTTGAACCTGTCTATTCATGAACATGTTGTGTCCTAGTATTTTCATCTAATTTCAAGGTGACAAGCTTATTAATTTTTTGGAAATTTCAGAATGAAATTATTTATAATTATCTTTTTAAGCATTATTTATCAGCAATAATTGTAATTTTCCAATTCTGTCGGCTTTGGTTCAGCCCTTCCATTTTGTATCAACATTTATACCAAAATGACCACTTTCAAGCCCTGTCCTGCATTATTTGTCAGAATCATTTACCAACCATACATTTCAATTCATAATTTAGTGCCTAATCCAATAAAAATAAAATTTTGGATTTTATTTTGTTTTATATTAATAAAGTTTTGGATTTTAAGGGTGTAACATAGAGCACAAGGGCCTAGGTTTTTTTGGGATTTTTTTAGGATATAGTGAAAAGTGTTGTGTCTCTTGTGCCAGTTTGGACTCTTTCCCAATCAGGTAAGCCTGCTATCCTCACAAAAAATCCAAAAAATTTAGATTTAACTATGATCAATCAGCTAACAAAAATAAATGAAATACTGTATCATACGTTAAAAAAAGTAATACTATTGTCTGGGTTAGGCCAAAAATCAAGACATACAAATGAAGGATTATTTTATACCTGTAAAAATTAAATCCATACCGGTATATAATTTTTCTACTAAAATTATATGTAGCTACTCACTACTCTGTATAAAACCATCGAGTTTTGTATATTGAAGAAGACATCCCATCTATATGGAACAGTTGTCGCAAAATTTTTATAAAAAAGGGCCTAGTGAGTGAGCCAGTCTCAGATTGCGCCTGTATCTAGAATTCTATTCTTATTTTTTGTAACAGATAGTTAACATGACATGAAAGATGCTAGAATGTACAATGAGTTTGACTTTGTTAAAAAGTCTGTAACAGAAATCAGTAGGCCTAATTTACATTAGCATAATTGTAATCTGTTGGTGTCTCACTCCAACTTCGTCCATTTTCATTTAAAAACCGGCAACAGTTTTGACATGGGGATGGAATGTCTAATTCTAAGGTCAAAGTTATAACCCATAAGTTCTCGAGTTTATTTGATTATTAGACTAGATCTGGAACTGTGATTATCTCTAATTCAAAACTTAGTATGTTTACTACTATCAACATAGTTCACCTCATATATTCAAGCTTTTGTATATTTTCTTGTACATATTTACCATGTGTTAAGAGTTTGGGACTTCTCTGTTGACCAAAATATTTACAGTGTTCACCATACAATGGGTGGGGAAGTTAAAACACAGGTGTTACTCCAAAATAATCATTATTTGTCTTTGTTCGGAATAGATAGCTTTTAGTCAACCAACCATCACTCTTCAAAAACATTAACTAAGATACTATCACAGGCGCCACATTTTGAAGGCTAAACCCTGTTTGTAATACATCCAGTGTTATTCATAGCTGCGTGGCTTTTCCATGATAAATATTAGAAACATTTGTTGCTTTAAACACTTTCAATGCTCACACCTTTTTCAAAAGTGATACAAATTTGTGTCCCCCCCCCCCTCAAATAAGTTACCTCCTAAAACTGAATAACTGCTCTAAATTTTCTTCTGTTCGTATTTTGATTACTTTTGCATTCATCTCTGTGATTACTGTATCCTAAATTATTTTTAGTGAATTTTATAAAAACATTATTAGGCCTATAGGCAGCATCCCATAATCAATGAAAATCATGTTTTATGACAAGTTATATGTTCATATGTTTTATGTACATATTTAAGATGACGTGTGGAAAGGAATTAGTACAGTGGTTGCAGTGAATTTGATTGTAATAAGCTCCACTCTTAGCATTAGCGGATTATTTATGCTTTTGTAAACAAGAGTATGGTAATTAATCATTTTGAAGAAAGTTACTTTCAAATCGGTAAAATAAAGGATGTTTCAGGTTCATATTTTGTCGTTTTAGCTCTTGTTACATTTTTGTGTGTAAATAACATAATATTGAAAACTAGCAAAATTCATGGTAAGGGGTCAATAATGTTAATTTTAAACACAACTTGGACACAAATTAAACTATCACCGGATTTAAGATTTTTAGATTAAGGTTAAGAAGAAATTGAGAACCTTGTCTTGTGGAGGTCTGTGAGATTCATAATCAAAGGGAAATACGTTTTAAGGGTTAGTGAGTTTAAAAGGTACCTAAAACAAAAATTCATGTAAAATATAAGGTCCTAAGATGATGTTAGCATGACATAAGTTAATGTTACAAAAACAAAATCAGGATGCTAGCCAGAAACAGGTACATTTTGTACAAGAACCAAGAGGTGGGTGATACCCTAGAAGTCAAGCAGTGTTTTGCCATCTTACTGTATTTGACTTAAATCAGTCAATTGAATTGTTCCACAATAGGACCTAAAACCTATTCAACATTCGATACAGCAATCTATAAAAACGGTGTTCAGGATGGTATTTCATAATTTAAAAATCTCAGATGTATGGGACAGACTTACTAATTAAATGTATCTAGCAAATAGTCACTGCTTCCATGAAAGAAAATGTTTTTTTTGAACTAAAAGTAGCCAATATTTTTTTATATTTTTTTATTGTACCTTGCATTATTACATATCGTACTGTTCTACAGTATAACTTTGTTTTGTATGCATACAAACAGAGAGGTTACTGTAACTATTTAGATGTCCTAGTTTTATGTTAGTTGATACAGTGCTAGATTGAAAATATTGGTTTTGTTTGCACTAAAAATCCAGACACTAATGATAATAACAAAAAGTATTCTAATATAACAAAAACTGTGAAAGTGAAAAATCTACAAAAACTGTTGCAATCGCATGTAGCTATAGATGTATTAAATACAATTATTTGTCTCTCCTAATTTTATTAGTGTAAATTGATACATCAGTCAAGCATAGCCTACATATGGCAATAAATGCTGTTGCTGTTAGGCAATAAAATTGATAAGTTCATGTTTGGATATTGACTACCTTTGTGTTTTATGATGATAAATATTTAAAGTGTTACATTTTTCTACTTTCTGTGTAAAAGTATGAAAATTGCAAGTATTTCATTCATTATTTCAGTTTAGAAATTAGGAAATTCCTCGCAATTATACTTGTGGTGGTTTTGTTGTAATGTAGACTAAGTTATTGAGTGGCAGATGCAGTTCCAGCACCCCTTTTCCCAGAAATCAACCTTACTCCTAAATTGTGTGACTTATTAAGATTTTACCTATAATTAGCTTTTAATATATTTAAGATTGTTACTGTACATAAATAATTTATAAATAAATTCAAATACATATTTAGTTTTTAAATTTGGTTTTGCTTGTCCTGTTTCATGTGTAACGTTTATTAATGGACTTTTCTTCTGTAAGATGTTCAAGAGCCTTGAAGTTGATATATGTGGGTGAATACATGTTAATGCCTATTTAGAATTTAACATCCCTCTCATGTTCATTATAGTCATAATTTTTAAAATTTGAACTGTAACACATGTCCCTATTGAATAACAGCATACTCAAAATTATTGACAACTTAAAATGTAAAACATACTAATGCAGTGGGAAAATAAACTAAGGTAATACTTTCGGTATGTTTTACAACAACAAAAAATGCACAATTTAGTAAATAGGTACATGTTTTTTTTCATACTTTTCAACATACACAGCCTACAAATATTAAAACTATTTCTTTGTTCCTTTGGTTCAATGAGCTAATGCTAAACAGTATTGAAAGAAATTCAGTGAGGTCAAGAGCAGAAATGGGTTAGGGACTTTAAAAATGACCGTTAAAATGTCCCAAACAAATTTTGTTTTAGGTGGGTACCCAAACCTCTCACAGAAGACCACAAAGGAAATAGTTTTCATGGCCATTTTTACACCTCCTAATCCATTACCCTCACTCATTGTGTTAGGGCCGTCATAAATATGTTGGCATTGCATATATTTCCTGTGGTAAAAAAATTATCACTGACCTTATCTCACGTGCGGCGTACACAAAGAGCTAGCAACGCTAGAGACGCTAGAGTTAGTGTGGCTAGAGAGCTGCAAGTGGATCCTCACCAAACGTTCCCAGAAACCTCCCCACCAAGGGGCAGGAGGAGGATTGAATTTCCAAACAATATTCTTTAAGTTGAATTCATTTTGAATTTTACTCCAGTTAAGATTCTTAAGTTGATTACTCAAACCAACAAAATTGGTTCCATTATCGGTATAGATGACATTTACTCTCCCTCGACGAGAAATGAATCTTCTTAAGGCTAAAATGAAGGCATCAGTGCTCAATGAAGGAATCAATTCAAGCTGTACAGCCCTATAAACTGCACACGTAAATATTACAACCCAGCATTTCTTCTACTCTCTTGTTATGAGTGGGCCTGCAAGATCAATGCCTGTGACTTGGAAGCAAGAAGTCAAATTCGTCCGATCTTCAGGTAGAGGAGCCACAGGAGCTTGACATGGCTAGGTTGAAAACCTTTTACAGGGTATACATTGATGTGTGACTCGACCAATAGTCCTCGTCCCTTTCAAAATCCAAACTTTTTCCCTCAAAATAACTAATAGTGCTTGAACACCAGCATGCTTACTGTTAATATGTTGTTGTTCAATCATTCGTTCTGTTATAATGTGATTAGATGGTAACACAACTGGTATATTCTTTGCTGTATTCTTGATCCAGTAATCTTGTATTCAATCTAATAAGACCATCTTCATCAATAATGGTTTTAACCAGCGAACACATAACAAAATAGAAGCGCTACTCGGAGCGTGGCAGTCTTACTAGCCGGCGAAACGGACAAAGATGGCGGCGCTAGCCTACCTGACGAGGAAATAAATATGTGCACTCGAGTTTGAGCCTAAATATCTCAGAGATGAATAATCCAATTTTGTTGAAACAAAAATTAAATATAAGCTGGTTTAAATATATTTTACGTGGTAGCAATAAAAAAATCCGTTTATCAGAAAAATGTATATTGTTGAAAGATCCTAAAAAGTACCGGGTTTTAAGAAACTCTGCACTAACACTGAAGTTTAAAATTTAATTGTAAACAAACCACTGAGCCAATCGGCCTGCCAGTTGCGGGAGAAATTTTTGTTTACAAATATATATCTGTTTAAAAAACACCTTTGTTCGCATTATAAATCTGTCATATTGGTGTTATTTCTTGTGTCACGACAAACACGATGATATTTTGAACGAAATTTTTAGCGTCTTATTAACGATGTTAGCATACGTTTTAAAAATAAACATCAGCATAAAAACTATCGTGAGTAAAAATTTTAAAATGCTTGGAACTGTTAACAATAAATCTACCAATAAGCCATACAAATTTCAGAAAGATTGGCTTAGTGGTTTGTTTACAATAAAGTTTTAAACTTCAGTGTTAGTGCAGAGTTTCTTAAAAACTGGTACTTTTTAGAATCTTTCAACTATAAACATTTTTCTGGTAAACGGAAATTTTTAAAATTGTTACCACGTAAAATGTATTTAAACCAGTTTATATTTAATTTTTGTCTTAACAAAATCGGTTAATTAACCTCAAGAGATATTTAGGCTCAAACTCAAGCACATATTTATTTCCCCGACAGTAGTCCCGGCGTGTGCAGCGCGCTAGTCGTCTGCTATGCTTGATGAGAATAAAGTAGATATAAAGTTAATGATATTAGTGTAAAGGAAAACAATGTAATTGAGGACTTGACGAACAAAGTACTTGGACAATGTGTAGGAGTAAATTTGTTTCCAAATAGTACATATTTCTCAGGATATGAAACAATATGGACAAAAATCATTTTTGTTTAGTACCTAATTAAAATTATTGCTCAAAAATATTTCAATGCTAGAGTTCGCTACTACTGTAAAATAAGTAACGAAAGTCTTAACAAAAATAAAATCAGGCAACATCTCAATAAAACTGTAATTTTTCTGGGACAATAAATTGAGTGTAATTTTACAAATATATTTGGGAAGTTTAATTTAACTTACAGAACTATCTTTAGTTTATCTTGGATGATATTGAAAGCTAATTAGTCCTTAAAAAGTTGTGCTAAACTGTTGAAAATTCTACATAGACAATATATTTGAAAATTTCTTTAATATATACAATATTACGGTACAACAGTATAAAACATTAAAAACACTGCACGCTAAATGTATAAACGACGGCCCGGCGGCGCAGCGGGCGTGGCGGGGAGCAGCGGCAATGGATCCCTTTTGTACCTGATTTTTTAGAAAACCGAACATGATAAAATTTTTTGGTGAATCGGATAGTTAAATTTGGTTATTTATCCACAACTTTCCCGCTGACGAAATTTCTCTGACCAAAAAATAAAAAATTTCCTCGCAATACAACTTTTTCATGTCTGAATCTGAAAAATTAAACTACATAAGTATTAAACATATTTATAACTCAATTACTATCATAACTAATAATTTTATATTAAAACCATCGTTTTCCTCAGTATCATATCTACAAGTGTGCAAAATTTCAGAATTTTTTGTCAACTATTAATGTTGTTTATGATCGTGTATTTGTCGCGGGGTTTTTAATGCGAACTGAGCTCGCGGGTCTTGGATTCAGGCTGTATGACGGATTAAGATGGCGGATTTGGCCACACTTTCAGTGCATTTGGTTAAACGCCGTGTCCTCTCTATTATTATTATTATTATGTGCTCGCTGGTTTTAACTCCACTTAAATGTTTGCTTTTCTTCTCTCCATTGAACCTGTCTCTTTGCACAAGTTTAAACAGTAATTTCTCTGCTTGTTGAAATTCTTCTGACGTTATGTCCGAGCTCTTCTTCTTGGTTTCAAACCGTAACATCCAAGCTATGGTTCTTACATTTAAAGGACAAAGCTTTTCATAAGTTGTATTTAATACATTAAACCTGGCAACAATAGTTCTTAAATCTTCATTTTGGCTCAATAGGTTTTCAATAGCATTTACCTCTTTAGTAAAGACTGACCTGTAAGCTCTTCTTTGAAGTTCAGTCATTTTAAAAATAAATCAAAAGTATATTACCTGTACAATGATGAATGTTTACTTCAACATAATAACTCAAAACTATCCTGGCAGGGTCGCCATTAAATGTAACAAAACTCTGAAATTAAACTGATTTCTTGTCAAATAAGTTATACCAGTTTTAAAAAGTTACATTCATTGATTATAGTCAGGTTGGGTAGCAGGAAAATATTTCAGTTCTGGCGGAGAGGCTGCGATTTTAGGTGGTTATAGTATACAAGTTTCTGAACCTAAAACCGCCCAGACCCCAATTTTTAAGGACCTCGGTCGTCCGTAATGACGTCATCAAAATGGCGGCCGTAAGAAGATGCTGGGTCCCCATGAATTGGCTGTAACGACCGAATGACTGAACCGATTTTTATGAAATTTGGCAACTTGACTTATCTCCTTTCACTCCTGCACGGAGCATAGGGCCTCCACGAAACAACGCCATCGGACTCGGTTGGCAGCCAAGGCTCTCACTTCCCTCCAGTTTTTCCCTGCATCTCTTATTTCTTCTTCTATAGTTCTTCTCCAGGTCATTCGAGGCCTTCCTCTTCGCCTATGCCCCTGGGGATTCCAGCTCAAGGCCTGCCTCTCTACAGCATCTGGATCTTTACGAAGAGTGTGTCCAATCCATCGCCACTTGCGTTTTTTAATCTGTATCTCTACAGGTTCTTCATCTGTAGCTTTCCACAGCTCTCTGTTTGAAATAACCTCCGGCCAGTAGATCTTCAGTATTTTTCTCAAGCATCTGTTGATGAAAACTTGGAGCTTTTGTGTCAAAGATGAAGATACCTTCCAAGTCTCACACCCATATAGCAACACAGACTTGACGTTGCTACTAAATATCTTCAACTTGGTTCTGGTTGAAATGTCACGAGCCTTCCACACTGGATACAGCTGTACAAAAGCAGCATTAGCTTTAGTAATTCTTGACATTACATCTTCATCAGCTCCTCCGGCTCTTGTTAAGACACTTCCCAGATATGTAAATCTGTCCACCTCTTCGATTTCTTCATCTGACATTCTGAAACTGTTGTTATTCGCTACATTTATTCTCATTGATTTTGTTTTCTTTACATTTATTTTTAAGCCTGTAGATTGTTCACTTTCCAAATACTGCAACTTTGCTGTCATATCATCAAATCTATGGGACAGGAAACAAATATCATCAGCAAAGGCCAGTTCTTCAAGCCTCTGTTGTAGTCCCCAGGATATGCCTCTAGCTCCTTTCTCTGATATTATTTGCAAAACCTGGTTTAGAACTATCACAAAAAGTGTTGGTGACAGAACACAGCCTTGCCTAACTCCTAGC